AAAAATGAGGAGCTGATACCAAGGGCTCAAGTAGAAGGTAAATGTTTTGAGAATGATGAGGGCAACAAATGTACAAATGTGCTTGACACAATGGATGTAAGTATGGATTGTGATAAGAGCTGTACAAGCCCTAAATAAAATGAATAAAAAAATGATATATGCTATGCTTTTCCCTACCTCGATATGCATTTACTAAGCATTAAAATAGTGGAAAGACTTACAATTTCTACAAATTATAAAATTGTCAATATTACCTTGCGTACATTAAAAAAACCTACCTACCTTTCAGTCATTCGTACCAATCCTCATATGGAAAGCAAATTAGAAAAAAAAAAAAAAAAAGCATTTAAAAAAACCAAACTATGAAAATTAAATCAATTAGGAGAAAAATCCTTACCAGTTTTTTTCTAAGGCTATTTTTTGGACAATGGTTTGTGATTTGTTCCAATTACATTCCAAATTAAACATTTCAAGTTTTGCTGCTTGTTCTAGGCAAATGGCTTACTTCTAATTGTTTTAATCCTTCAACAAAAACTGCAGGGGGAGGGTGGTAGAGTGGTGGAGGTGGGGTAAAAAGACGACTTTGTCAAGGGGTCCATGTAGAAAAAGCATGTTTGGAAATGGACTGTGACAGCAACTGTACAGTCTACTTGACATGATTACCATGTATGTATTAAATCCCAACCTAAAAAAAGTTTCCACTTCTCCCAACTCCTGCATACTTACTCAAGGGAAAAAGTTTTCTCATTTTTTTCTAAGTCGAGATCAACGTCAAGTTCAATCCCTTACCATACAGATTGTTTACTTTCTGTTAACATCTTGTCATTTTATTTTACACTGTTATCTTATTTTACAATATGGGTTTTAACAAGTTTCTACTGATGTGTAAAAATTTGTCCAAATGGCCAATATCAACGATGGATAATGATTTAGAGATCTTCATAGAATGCAGATGTCCTGACTGCGGCTTAGGGCACCCGTGTGGCAAGGCTGGACTGAGTTGAATGGACGACTGGCAGCAGAATTGAGGCAGTTGCTTCCCTGCCAGGAACAAGACACATGGCACCTCTCACAGGAATGAGCAACGGACCCCTATCAGGCCTAATTTTCCTCATGCTCCTGACCACTATTATTTATAATTCTCTTCCTCTCCAGGAAAAAGCTGTATCCATTGAAATGGACAAATCTTAGCCAAAGAGTGTTGATGAAAGGATAGAAATATGGAAACATGTCTGATCATGGGATGAAACACACCAATTTCCCAGGAAGTTTCCTTTAGTCTCTTCTGTCAAGCTCTTCCCTTTCATCCCCAGAGGCAAATTCAAAGTTCTGATTTCCCCTCATCTATATTAGTTTGCCTTAACCTTTATTTGAAGTTGTATTCTTTTGTGTTCACCTTTTTTGCAGGATGATGTTATTGAGTGATGCTGTTCTCCAAAACTGCAGTTTATTCTTACACCCTTGGGTTATAATCCATTGGATGAACCTACCACTACTCAGTCACTTTTGCTTTCATTGTCAGAGAAGCTAGATTATATGAAGAATGCAGCATTCCTATCTGCAATACGAAGAGGACACAACCTTTCTGGCTGAAAGTGAGGAGGACTTGAGGCACTGATGAAAACAAGGATTACAACCTTCAGTACGGATGACAACTCAATGTGATGGAGACCCAAAGCCTCACAACTGTACCAACCGGTAACATTAAGAAAATGGAGAAAAGGTTAAGTTATCTGGGATTCTGCCTTATTTGGATTCAGTCAATGTTCATGGAAGCAGCAGCCAAACGACGAGCTGCACTGGGTATATCAGCAGCACAAGATCTCTTTAGAGCAGTGGTTCTCAACCCTCCTAATGCTGCGACCCTTCAGTACAGTTCCTCATGGTATGGTGACCACCCCCAACCATAAATTTATTTTCATTGCTACTTCTGAACTGTAATTTTGCTGCTGTTATTAATCGGGTGACCCCTATGAAAGGGTTGTTCGACCCCCAAAGGGGTCTTGACCCACAGGTTGAGAACTGCTGCTTTAAGAGTATTGAAATGCAAGGGTATTACTTTGAGGACTAAGATGTGCTCGACCTAAGCCAAGGTATTTTCAATAGCTTCACATGCATGTTGTGATAGTTTGGTGTATTTTGCCAACCTGGCCATGTGGGATTAATCAGGTCGCAGTTTGATGGGGGCAAAGTGATAAATGGCTCTGCAAGGCTCTCCTTGTCTCTTTTGCTTGGAGCAGCGTGCTGCTGCTTTAGCTAGTTCTCCGCCTCAACCTGTGTGCTACACACCGGTGGGCCAAGCCAATCCATGGATGGTGTTGCTAGAGCTTGAGGCTCATTTGAGACCTGCTTTGGCCACGGTCAAGGCCAAGTTGTTGGTATGTACATGGCTTGAGATTGAGGCTGATGGATCTTGTTGCCTTGCATTGCTTGCATCTGATATTCCATCTGGGTCTACTTTGCTAAGCTCCAGAGCTACTGACTGTTGCTGACCCACCCTGCTGTTTGCTGCCTGCAGGCACTCTTCCTGCCTTGCCCAAGGGAGGACTCCATTGACTGCTTCCTTGACCTTGGACCTAGCAGCCCATGTGAGTTTAAGGACTTCCAATATATTAACTGTTCCATGAAAGTGAGTTGAACTGAGCCCTCTGTACTGCTGTGTGGACTAATTAGCTATTATATTCCTTCTCGCTGTATACACCTATCCTCTTATATGTCCTGGTTTTGTTTCTTCGGAAACCCCTACCAAATACACATCTAAAAGTTGGACATTGAATAAAGAAGACCAAAGTATTGATCCGTTTCAATTGTGGGGCTGGTGAAGAATATTGGAAGTACCATGGGCTGCTAAAAGGAGAGACAAATCTGTCTTGGAAGAAGCACAAGAGGCAAGGGTGGCAAGACTTCGTCTCTCATACTTTGCACATGTTATCAGGAGAGGTCAGACCCTGGAGCAGGACAGCAACTTGGTAAAGCGTCGTGAGAAAGGGGAAGACCCGCAAGGAGATGGACTGACACAGTGGCTGCAATGGGCTCGAGCACAGGAATAGTTGTAAAGACGGTACAAGACTGGGCAGTGTTTCGTTCTGTTGTGCATAAGATTGCTATGAATCAGCACTGACGCGATGGCACCTAACAACAACATGCCCTTGTTGAAGGATGCTGCTTGTCTCCAGTTGGGCTACTATGACTAAACCTCCGTGAAGCATTCACTCCTACTTTTTGTAGACGTACACTTTCATTTCTTTTAGAGAACTACCCAGGAGGATGGTGTAAGATTTGACATCTAATGTAATGCTAATGCTGCCTCCGTATCTTCAAGGGGTCTGCGTGGCACTGCGATACTTCCTAGGCTGCTTACTACAAGGTCATCGGTTCAAAGCGCCCCACAGGAGAAAGACGAGGTAGTTTGCACCCATAAAGAACCTCAGGTAGGGTTGTTTGAGTTGGGATTGGCTTGATGGCACTGAGTTTAGGTTGACATCTTTGGATCTCACAGTGTCCAAAGGTCTTACATGTTCTTTCTATGTAAGCTTCTCATCCAGTGGGAAAAGTCTTCCCACCTGGCTCCTTCCTCTCTCAGAGGGACTAACTACACTCCACCTGACTCAACCCAACAGATTTCACTTCCCAGTCAGACAGTAGAATTATTCCAACAAGACTGTAGGAAACCAGCGCTATCTCTCCTCTTCATCCATCCTTTTATTACCTCAGAGACTGCCTTTCAGAGTCCCTGGTTGTTCAGTACTCCTGAGTTCAATTCCCACTGGGCCCCTTTTGATGTGAGGTGTCTCTTCTCCAGGACAGTACTGCTATGGTGACTATTTTTTACACACTAGGACATTCTTTTACATAACCAAAACCTATCTGCAAAGGCAGAAAATGAACACTAATACACTCATCTAATTCTAAAGACAGTGCTTCTTGGTGAAAGGGTCTAATCATAAGCTGCACTTAGGGATGCTGCATCTTTCGTCTTCTTGGTGCAGATTTGTTTCGCAGACTGTTTTCTACCTTCCTGGTCTTGACGCTGCGGAAAGTACACAACAGCTGCCTTGACGAATGCGCCTCAACTTGGGTTTGCTGTGGTTTCTTCAGGATGAGACTCAGGTTATGCATCTTTGGCAAGTAGGGATGCAAGACTCTTCTCACTGCATGGTATCAGGTAATGCAGGATTTCAATGTGCTCAATGATGGATGATGTTTTTTTGGTCACGTGAGTCAAGTGCTACCTGTTACCTACTCTTTTTCCCTCTGAAACTAAGACAAATGCTAGGTGAAATATTATGAAAACTATAAATTTCCATTCCACATCAAGATTTTCATTCATACCCCCTACCTACCAAATTTCCTATCTACTTACCTGCCCTTTCCCCCTTCCTCTCTCCTCTCATTCTTCCA